TCCGGGACCTCCCTTTCGATGACAAAGACAGAACTGTTGCACTTGCTGGTCTTTGGGACCATAGTCCATCATCTGTTCACTTAAGGTCTCTTAACTTTTTCAATCTGTTTTTGGAAAAAGGATGGTGGGGTATCACGCGTCCTACTAGTGGGTGGGCTAGCTGGTAGGATGGGAATAGAGCACAGCAGCAGCAGAGATGGTGGCTCTGCTGCAGTAAGCCTTGCTGGAGTGGGGAGCAGGGGATTGATTGTGGGGTCTGACTTTTTTTCTGAAAAAAGAGAGCTCTTAGGAACCTCAAATAGCGAATACGGCGAGTAGGAGAAGATGGTGGGTTATCACGCGTCCTACCAGTGAGGGGGCTAGCTGGCAGGATGGGAGTATGGTATAGCAGCAGCAGAGATGGTGGCTCCGCTGCAGTCAGTCTTGCCGGAGTGAGGTAAAGTGGATTGATGGGGGGTTGATGGGGGTTCTTCTGAGTCGTTTCTGAAATCTGGTTAAATCATGAAGATTGTTGTAGATATGTCCGAAGCTGCTCCAATATTTCTGAGCCAAAGCCAATTTGTGAGGTAATGGTTGTATCTATGGGACGCTGGACCCGGTTTCCAGCAGGTGTTGCTCCCCACCTATAGATGGAGCTGTTTTGTAAAAAAAACAAAAAAAAAAAACAAAAACAAACAAACAAACAAACAAACAAACAAACAAACAAACAAACAAACAAAAAAAAAAAACACCAACACCAACACAAACAACAACAACCACAATGACGACCCCTACCCTCATGCTTCTCTGTTGAGCTAGCGCTCCTTTTTTTCGGTGGTAGTCAGCTCAACGGTGGTTTTCCACTTTTTTGGGATTTTTACTTTTTGCAGTCATGAGCTGACATCTGACGTATCAGCATACCATCATGTGCAGGATATAGATTCATGCTACAGCCACCATGTCCACACAACAGCCATGACTCCTATGCATGCTTGGATGTGGCCGTTCTCCGTGGATAGGTGCATAGATTCAACGTTTTTTCCCCCCCTGCATCTGTGGCTGAAGGACATCCATGTTCATTGGAAAGGTTATGGAATCAAGATTTTTGTGTTGGTCGCCGTTAGCTTCCATCAGAAATGCGAGCGTCCAACCTTTTTTTTTGGGAAGTTTTCGGAATGCCCCTCCGACTTCCATTTCTTTGCGCTATGCTCCTCCGATGGCCAACCTACCCTGTCGTGCCCCCGGGGCCTCTGAAGTTTCCTGCAGGCCTCTGTCAGTGAGGGGTACAACTGTCCAGCATGCCCCTGTGGCCGTTGGTGGCACTCGTGGCTGTTCCCCTGGCCCTGGGAGGGGAGCTACTGGGGCATACTGGAAATTTGGAACCGGTACCGGTAGGGGCATATTGAACATATTTCAGGCCCAAATGATGCCAGGGTTCTTTTGAAAACTTCAATCGTTGTCAGAGGAGCACGACAGGGTAAGTCGGACGTCAGAGGGGCATACCACATATATATATGGAAGTCGGAGGGGCATTTCAAAAATTTTCCCTCGTAAAAAAAAAAGGGCAACGGCCTTCAGATATCATCACTAGAGATATTATCATTGAGCTGACAGGCCCCAGGCAATTCACAAATAGTTGTGTTTTACTCAGCAATCAAGTTCCATCATCTGGATTCGAACTCGGGTCTGCATTCCAACAATTCATTGGTGTACCCACTGAGCTATGCTCCTGGTACTGAACCTCCGACCTTTTGACTGTGCACCATATATACTTCACCTTCAGACTCGCACGTCCGAAGAAGCACTTCATTTCGGGACATAATATATCAAACCAAATTGAATATTTACGCGATTTTAAAATCATTTTCTTCAGTTCTATGGATTAAAAAAATGGGTTAAATACTGTCACACCGTTGAGCTAGCTCAATTCGCTCAACTCAACGGTGCAAGTGGGACATCGCCCCAGGGCAAAACGGAGCAGGCGCTAAGGGAAAAAAAAAGAAGTAATTTTTTATTCAAATACAACAGTTTTTCTCTTCTAGAAAATTAGACTACAAGATGTACACTTTTTATTCGAATACAATGCACATGCGTTATATTTGAAGTGCCCTTCTATTTGGAAAAATGGGACTAACTAAGTCCAACTTTCAAAAAACCGTTTTATTTGAAACCTCGAATTCAACGCATATGCATTATGTTCGGGGGAAGAAAGCAGGTGAATGGATTGTGGCGCAGCCGGGGCCCAAGGCCCACTTGGGTTTGGAGTGGTGGCACAGTCCAGATGCACAAGAAAAATAAGGCAGCTCTTTATCTAGCGCCAATAGATCATCACCAGCCCCAATATATAAGCTTTGTCTATTCTGAAATTAAATAGAACATGAAAAAACAACTGCGACAGACTCTCTCTCTGAGTCTGTTAGACCATGGGCTGCACGCACACACACACACACACACACACACACACACACACAC